GTACCTCTTTAAGCCCTCCTTCCATCTCCAAAGGTGCTTCAAGCTTTGTTTCATGGAGCCCCATTCCCTCATTCTGACTGTGAATGAAGGCTGGGAAGCAAAAGAGTAGAGGGAAGATGGCGCTAAAAAAAAGGAGAGTGTAAAATGCAGCACACCACCTGGTTGTGTGTATAGGTAGCAGTCGGATAGGTGTCGGGTGAAAAACATTTAGCAGGGAAGGAGGGCAGAGCGTTGGTCCAGTAGTTTCCTCAAAGTCACGCCAAATTCCTGATTTATTTTTGATGGTATTGATTATTGTTTATTTGATATGTTCTGGCAGTCTTCATGCATATTTGCTTGAAATGAAATTTGCTCTGCATTTGTGAATGATGTGATCGTTTTCCCAATCTTCGAGAGAAGCAAAGCAAACAGAGCTTGGAAATACATTTAGTCAGCTGAGAAAACACAGTGTTATATTGTTCTCTGTTTAGGCGGGTGCTTAGGAGCAAACAAAACAGCATCTGTGGTGCAGCTCCAGCTTTACGGAGGGTTAAGAAGAAGGAGCAGGAGGCCAAGTGGGTTTCAGAAAAAACAAAAGACCATGATTGCATATAGTTTTCCTGCTCAAAGTTGCAGTAGTATAGATCTCATGCATAAAATCAGACTTTAAATCTGACGGGGCTTGTTTGAAATTATTGAGTCCGTCTATGTCAGGCATCTCCCCTGAGGTGCAGGGCTTGTCTGTGAATAGAGATTAGAAATGGTGGTGCTAAAGGTCCGTGGCTGCTGGGTAATACAAATCAGTCCCTGTGATCCCCTCTGGTGTTCCTCCTTCTTCTAATCCACTTAAGTATCACAGGCCTCTCAGCTCTCTACCCAGACTCATTTGGGTAGACCTCAATAATTAGGTTTCCCCCTCCCTGTGTAATAAAACACCAATCACAGTCATTAAAACATTGTTAATTTACACTGAAGTTAATGAATGTCTTGTCAATACACTGTAATTACCTGGTAATTAGATTGTTATTGGACAATTTGAACTCCTCCTTTATGACTTTTCCTTTCCTGCTGAAGGTTTTATCGTTCCTGTTGATGAGTGTGTGTGAATGTGATTAAGCTGCCTGTGATCCTTACTGTCCCAACATTTCTTTTCCGATTTGTCCATTGATTTCTTTATGGTTTTACATAAAACTTGTGCCATGTTCACAGAGAACATGAGGCAATTTTTTAGAGTGATGAGATTATATACATTAGTGCAAAGATGCAAATTTTCACACTGGATGATGACGTGAATTGGGTGGCACAAAACCTGCGCGAGTAGTCCAAAGCAGGAATTTAGTTTTGTGTTTAATTAGAATTAGAAAGAGAGTAGGAATTTCTGCGAATAAATCTGCATGCTGGATTCTCGTAAAGCTCAGAAAGTTTGTAAAGCAGTCCTGTTGGTTTACTAATTTGGGGTCACTTGGGTCTAAGGACCTTGGAGCATTCTGTGTCCCCACAGACATATAAAACATAATCCCTGATGTGATGTTGTTTCAACATTGCAGACAGCCGCAGCGGTCTCGTAACACTTGCCACTTACCTTTCAGGGAAAAACCTGGAGGTAAGGATCTGAAAGGAAAAGGCAATAAATTCAGATCCTCCAAATGTTTTTACGGGCTCAATCTGACAAAGAAATCAGCGTCTTTTCCGTCCTGTACTCGTCAGTAGACATATAGAATATATGTCATGGGAGTTTAAGCCATTTCACTCAACCACTTGCTGTTTCCATTTCCTGGCAGCTGTCAGCACAGCATACAATCAAAGGGCAGAGGGCTCACCCTGCCACCAAAGCTAGGACAACCTCAGCGTGTCGCATCATCAGCACCGCCCTGCCTGACTTTGTTTTCCGAGTACTCTCACTGTTAACAGGGAGACAATGGCGGCAGTGTGACTGGGGGGATTCAGCTGTGTGGAAAGTTCCAACTTGGTGCTGCTGATGGAAACCTGACCCCTGCGTTCGGTGCACTTTTGCGTAGTATGAATGCCAAACACTTTGGTCATATCGTGTCCGCGTGTTTGTTGTTCCAGCTTCGTCTTTGCACATACTGAGAGGGAAGTTCACACACACCCAGATCTCTTTTCAACTCTCCCATCCCGCCCTAATCATGAGAGAAATCACAGTCTCATAGTGAGCTTGTGCAACAGTCGGCCTTAATAGGCTGGAGTGAAATTGTTCGACTCTTGATGTCATTGTCAGAGAAGCCAGGGAACCTGAACAGACATGTTAAACGTACCTTTAACAATAAAACCTATAAGAACTTAAACATGCACTCATCGACTGGCCTCTTGATCCCCGGCTTTCTCGCCTCCATCTACCAATAGTTAAAGCGGTTTTATGGGTAGTAATCCTGGTGGCCTTAAATTAATGGAGAACCCAGCTTAAACTTTCAGCAGTGACTGTGTAATTGCTTGGCCCCTTTGGAGTATTTTGCACTGGGCATTGTGGGAGCAGTATATCAATACCCTGTCCTCAAGCCAAGACAGATGGACTCTCATTTGGAGCAGTTTCAGAATTGTGTGTTTTTGTGTAAAACTCCCATAGGAATAAGTTAAGGGTTTCCACTGATGCCAAAACCTCCCAGCTACAACAATAACATCTGCGGTTTGGATTAGACACGTTGGTGATATCACCCTTTTAGTAATATGCCTGCATTATAGCAATCTTACAGCCAGTCCTTATTGTCTGTGAAGTTTATAGAGGCAAAGGATCCAACACAAATGATGATCTGCGCTGCAGGACGTGGTTGAAGTTCTTTGGCAGCATGTTTTAATTCACATACTTCTAATGCTTAAGTATTGGCTTCATATTTTTTATGTCACACTGACAACTTCCCTTTAGAGAAATCACATATTTTTGAAAAAGCTCTCAAATCCTTCATTTAAGTAAGAATAAACATTACAACGGGATAATAATTTGTTAAAAGTAGTTATTTTTCTGACCAAAAAAACCCACTTTTGTTTTAAATTTGCTGTAATGGTTCCTTCTCGTTCACACTATTGTTGTATTGTGCGTACAAGTGCTCCTTGAACCTGCTGTGCTGTTTATCAGTTACTTTGCTGCTCCTTGCATTTCAGCAGATTAAATGTTGTCAGGCTTTAGATCACAGCCAGCAAATTACAGTGTTAATCTTTTATATATGAATATCTCAATAAAATACTTACTGTTTGGGGGCACTTAGAATTAAATTACACTGTCAGTTCTTTTTAACCACCCAGCAAATAATAAATAATTACACAATAATTACTGTATATTATGTCATGAAAAGAAATCAAACATTTTATACTTTCACTTAGTAAAAAAACTTTAACCAATCCTGTAATTCACTGTAATTACAGTAAAAAAAATTGCATAAAAAGACTTTATTTTACAGCCCATATACCCTGGACCTCATCGCCTTGGCTGTAGTTCCTAATGCAAGTAAAAAACAGAGAAAACTGACATGTTGTTGTTAAATGTATTTATTGCTATTATTTTAAATGTAATGTAATGTCCCATTAACCTTAGTAAAGTTAGTTTTTAAGTGAAAGTATGTGTATTTAGATCCCCACTAAACAATTACACTAATTTGTGGGCTGCCTAAAGTGTTGCTGAAAATCTCTTGCGGTCTATATTTGTGGGCTTATTTTATTTTATTTGAGTGATTATAATTTTGTTGTAGGGCTAATATTTAATGCGCCAAATTTTAAATTGCAGTGTAGCTAACAGTTACAACTGACAACACGTGTGAAGTGCAAAGTGTGAAATGTAAAAGTACCGGTGCCTCAAAACAGTATTGGAGCACGTTGTTTGAGTCAGTGCAACCACAGTGGTTAAAATGTCTGTGCGTGGTGTTGTTGCAGTGTTGTGAAAATAATGACACTTACTGGAGGAGAAAATAACTAAAAATGCCATTTCAGCTCGATCATCCTCAATTTGTTGTTTTTTTACACAGCTTTATTTCAGATGAATTAATTTTCAGTTCTATCAGGCTGTTCAATAGCCAAACACTTATCAATACTTTTCATTACAGCCATCTACAATTCAATGCAAAAAGTAAAAAATAAAGGATCAAAAATAAAAACCACAAAAGCCACATTGTTTCATGTGTCATTAAATATATTCATTTGTGATAAACATAATATATTAGTATTACAGGACATTACACAACCATTTGCAATGGACACTGCTAAACAACATTTACAAGCCAATGTATAAACATGAGCAGAGATAATTATTCAGATATAATATTTATGTAGGGCAGAAGTCTGGTAGGAAGTACCTTTCTGCAAAGTCTAAGTGTGTCGGTACAGATGTGTGATGTGCAGAGACTTTCTAAGTGCGTTGTAGTTTTCAAAGACATACAGTATGATGCACAGAGTACTGAGGTGTACCCTTGAATTTATGTGTATATTTGTTTATGTGTGTGCACGTGTGTGTGTTTGGGTGTGGTCCTGCATATGTGCTAATGTACTGTGTATGATTTTGTGTGTATGTGCAAATTGAGTCATAGTCTCTCGGTGTGTGAGAGAGTGTGTGATCCTCTGGGTGCTCACGTAAACATGAGACATTTCTCTGACATTCATTTATTTCTTTCCGTTTATTAAGCCTCTAGTATTTAAAACTCTGGTTAAGTTCACATGGAGATAGATCTAGTAAATGTTTAACAAAAAATAAAAAAGTAATACTATACAACTATATAACATGTAGACAATTGGTCATGCCTTTTTGTCGAGTACCAAGTCTTAATAATGGAATCCAGTCCTCAAAAAGTCACTTTGAGGTGACAAACATTTGACACAGCGTGCTTAACGCACTGTACAATAAACATCTGTGATATTTCATCACTCCACAGGTTATTTTCCCACAACATTGAATACTGTATACAAATTAAATGTGTACATAATTCACAATCATTGTTAGCTATCAATCAGCTACAGTAAATAGTGAGCATGCATTATGTCAGTGGTATGAGGATTGTTTGATAGGTTGATATTCTCTCTTTTTTTATGAAGTGAGAAGGTTCAGTTTATCAGTTCTCTCACTTCCAAATGTTTGGGACATCCAACTTACATTTATTCATTTATTAGAAAATAAAGACTAAATTCTGAGTTATCTGTAGTTGTGACAACATGGTCAATAAGAGACATCAGCCCATACAGAACAGTCATCAGTGAGGGAGGCAGGATTTGAATTACACAGCTTTTTTGCATCATATGATACAGTAGGGGAATTTTTTTTTTCTTTTTGGATGCCACTCTAAAATTGTGAACATATCTCATATGTTCTAAAACTTTTGACTAGTAAAAATAAGTGCATGGTTGACATGTCTACTCTACATCTAGTTGATGCTATGGCATCATCTACTAAAAATAATGTCTATGTATGCACGTATGGTTACTTTACATTGCAGAGGTCACAACCACACCATACTGTTGATATATCAATAAGCGCTGAGCAAAATACTTGTTTGTAATGTGACATATGATCATTATACAGAACGAGCAGAGGATTGTTATGGCATTTTGTTCCCACAACACAAGTTGTTTCACTGAGGTAACACACATATCAGCTCTCGGGCAAAATGGCACCACACTTATGAATCATTTCACAATTTTTCACTTTCAGCTTTTGAAAAAGTTTATCCAAAGTTTGGCAGGTTACATGAGCAACGTGTCATACATAAGTAGAGTCCCTCAACGCCATGCAGTGTCTCTTCATTGAACTAGATAATGCTTTACACAGAACAGTGGAAATAGATCCTCTTAAAATACAAAAGGGTGATACAGTAGATGCATTGCTCTTTAAAACGACTGAACACGGGACTGTAACGAAACAACGAGATCATGGGCAAAATAGTCAGGGTGTGACGTATCTGTTACATTAGGTGCAAACTCTGCAATTACACAACAAAATCAACCTTGAAAGACAAACAGAGACGAAACAACTGTAGAATGAGCTCCTTCACAAAAGTTCCTAAAAACACTAAACTCTTCGCTCCAACACAGAGCAGCAGCACTCAGTCATTCCCCCATCTCTCCTACTTTTCACCTGTGTCTTTCTATCTTATACTCTTCCAGTTTTTTTTTTTTTTCATTCATCCTCTCCTCTTCCTTGCATTCGTCCCGGTGGAGACGTTATTTTGCCTCCACCTCTCCCTTAATCTCTCTCTCTCTCTCTCTCTCTTTCTCTCATCTCCAGCAACTTTTAGCATTTTCCCCTTTTGTCACGCTGTTGGAACTTCCTCAGCCGGCGGCCCCACAGGTCCTTCCAAGGAATGAGCAGACTTCCTTTGTCCGCCACCACGCCGCTCTGCCCGGGGGAATCGTCATCTGTACCCAGGAGCAGGTACTTCCTCCCAGGCTTGATCTTTGGGCATTTGCAGGCCACGTCCTTGGCGCGCACCCACAGCAGCTGGTCCCCGCGGCGGATGCGGTGCTCACCTTGCTTGTAGACAGAAATGATGTTCACTGTGAACTTCCACCACTCGCCTGCCTTGTCTCCTTTTAGAACGTGCACTTGGACAGCTGGTGGAGGAGAAGAGAAAAGGGATTCATGTCATAAATTAGTTCCTAACCAGTGATTCTTTTACCCCTAATATCCTCATATTGAATCGGCTGTAACACCTGAAAACTATGTTAGCAGTGGAGATCTATAGTAACAGTAATGGGTGAACGATTGAAATAGCGAAAAGTACTGGATAAATGATTGTATTAGTTAACTAAAACTAATAGATATATGGTTTAATTAGTAAGCTAAAAGTAGTCTAATGAAGTAACAGTTAAAATAGCTAAAAGTAATGAATAAAGAACTTCTAATTTTTGCCTCTGTGAGTGGCAGTGGTATAAATTCAAGCCAAACAGATCTAATAACTGACAGATCAGTGGTAGAAAAATAACATCCATTCATTCAGTTCAAATGAACACAGTTGGAACATGACGTAGTGTTGATGAAGGGTTACTTGAGATCATCCAACAGGGCTGTGGAGTACATCAAACAAAAAAAAGTTTGGGAACCACAGACATAAACTATAACACCTTTTTTAAAGTGTTGGCATCTGTCTGAGGCAGCAGACAGATGCCAACACTTTTATACAACATTGTATAAAAGGTCCAATAAAACCTGCTGTATAAACATGACCCAGAAATTACTGACTTAGTTGCATGTCACTGGTCCCTCCCTTCATCTCTGACCTATGACCTTTCCTTGTTGTTCTCCTGAGCATACTCCCTATTACAGCAACAGTTGCTATAGCACTCCCTGTGTGAACGCAAAGGTTGGTTGGTGGACAACATCTGAAAGCACACTTCCCTGTGAGGGGCAGAGAAACACTTATCCTTCAGGTGGCCTGACTTTGAGGAGGGAGAGAGTTGGACGATGGGTTGTTTTTTTTACAAAAATAAATGACCAAAAGGGATTTTTTATAGAAAAATGTCCCATCTGCTAACAATATACCTTCTGAAACAAATCTTTTCCAATTGTTCTATCAGGTGTTGAGCTGAACATTGACAACCTCCGGCTAAATCAAGCTAAACCTGGTAACTATTGGAACACCACTTGAAACAGATATTTTCATACCAGGAAATGAGTAAAGCTCCCTTCGCAGAAGCTCCCCTGCACGGATTCTCCGTCAGATGAAGCAGCTATTACTTCATCACACTGATTGCAACAAGAGGCAAACAGCTCAACAGCGATGGAGCTAATCTGTGCTTGAAGTGAAGTGCTTTACCCCGTGGGTTTAGCTAGGAATGTGCTATTATCATTTAAGTGTGTGTGTGTGCGTGTGGGAGTTCAATAACAATTGTGAGAATTAATCGAATCTGGGGAAGGTAGGATTAAATGTTGGAAAAGACTTACTCAAACCATCAGTTGGATATGCAACAAATCTTAAATTCATCAGTTTATCTTTTAACTCATATAATGCTTAAACAATTCCTGTGATTTTATTTGCACACACAAGGGTCAAACATTGTGGGGACATGGGACACTTATTACAAGTTATTAACAATTAAACAAGTACCTTTGTAATAATAATTTCCAAACTGTCCCAAACCTATTTTATTCAAATAACTAGGTAGCCTTCTTTCAGCCTTTCTGGCTGAGCATGATCACTTTCGGTGTTCATCAGTCGTCCCCTATTACTGCCAAGAATGAGGAGAACCGGAGGAGTGGGGTGTTTGAGTATGTGTGTCAATGCATGGTGTGAGCAAATTGCACACAATTTCAGAAGAAAGAAGGTTTGTTGGACTGAGTAGAGCGAGCTCTCACAGCCCTGCCATTCATTGCAGCCCTCTCCTTCATCCAGACACATAAAGGGTGTGTGAGGGGGGGAGAAGGAGGGGCCACTATTTGTCTTCCCAGCCACAGAAAAAGTTCCAGGAGAATCGGGATGTGTTTCCGACCTCATGAGCTATCCGGGTTCTGCTCCCAGAGCCCCATCCAACTTCACAGCGTGAGAATCCAGCGGAGATAACGCTCTCCTCTCCAGGCCTGAGGAGGAGACTCGGTTACAGCATCCAGACTCAGTCTCTCAGTCAGTGTCTGCCTCTTTTTCTTTCTTTCTCAAGTATGTTCTCACTGCGTGGTGTATTTAAACACACACAAATCTACATGCACACACCTTCTGCCACTTGGTTTGAGCTAAATAGACACCAGAGAGAGACTGAGATCACAGTGTCAAACAATGTATTACAAAGTAGTGCGTGCTGACACTGTTCAGTGAGACGGACAGTGAGAGAGGAGAGATAAGTGTGAGATGATCCTGCACTCACACAATGGCTGCCAACCGAGCCTCCCTCACAGCCAGACTTCCAACTGGGTTTATCTTCTTTGGGCAGTGTGTTGCGGCTTGACACTGCATGCCACCAACAAGCAAGGGCTAATGAAATTAGAGCTTGCTTAATTACCACACTGAGGCCCCGTCCCCTCTGGTTATCAGCTGGGGGAATGATCAGGGACCTGTTACCCTTGGGTGAACGCAGAGGGGTGGCCAGGAAGCTTGTTTGGGGGGGGGTGGTGCCCTGCCTTTGAGCACTATCCCGGAGCGTCGGTAAACACGCGGCGCTTTGATTCATTGTCCTCCTGGTGGCAGGGAGAAGGAGGGTGCGTGTGTGCAGAGGAGGGTGTCAGGCGAGAATATAATCCCTTTGTGTCCGCCGTCTCCGTAGCTACGGCAGTGATGAAAAACTAAAATTGAATAAACAAAACATATTTCTTTCTCTCTGGGGTGGCAATCCGTCACCGTCTGCCTAATTTACCACCTGTTTGTGCCCTGAGGAATGCTCAGTGCACAACTGTGTTTAAACAGAGGGCCCCTTCCCGTGACCCTTGGGGGCCTGCATCACCACTCACACATGGGGGTTGTGGCCCCCAAAGAACAGACAAGAGACTCTGAAGCCCCACAAAAGCACGGCGACAGGCCTGAGAAATGAATTATACAGAGGCGAAGGGAATGCATGCTAAGCAATGATGTCTGCCATACTGCCTCAGCGCGGTTCAGGCAGAATCATCTGCTTCCAGACTTTTTAGAGGAACTTCAGAGAAAACCAACAGGAACTGCCCGCTTTGCTTAAATCAGCTTGACTGATTTATAGATGCAGAGCCTGTCTCAGCTCTGATGATTAAGATTTAAATCAGTGGAAATATGAATAATGGCTGCATTTGGCTTCCTAGCAAAATGCAACAAATGGCCTGAATTACTGTCTACTCAGCTGTAAGAGGGAATAAAATATATTTGGCCAATTTTCACTTGGATGCCGTTTAAAGTATATAAAGCTTTTTTTTCTGACAGACTGATTAAGTTTCACAGATGATGGTTTTGAATGAGAGACAAGTTAGTCATCTCTGAGCAAAATTAATGTTAGAGGAGCTGAAAGGGTTCTAGCAAAACTAATAGCAATGAACGTCTACTACAAGCACAAATTTACATAAACTGTCCACTGAAATCTGAAAGATCCTCTCCAGACATGTATCAAGACATATGCAAAAGGTCTGCTTGGAACAATAACTTGTGTCTGATATGTCTGCAAAAACGTATAATTTTCACATTAAAATCCTTAATAAGGCATCTACTCCTTTCCAGGATTTATGAATATATGTAAATGAATAAAAGTTCATTTCTGAAGTTTTCCTGCTGGGACACAAGATGTCTCCTACTTCACTGTAAAGTCAATTTCTCAGTGGATGTGCCACGGTGGCTTCAAGTTTCTACATCACACTTGCCTATAAGTACTGGACCAGCGAATGACTTCAGACTATTTAAAATGGTCACAAAATCATGCTCATAAGCCCCGCCCCTTAAAATCATGATGTTCAGCTGAGCTCAGAGAAACTTTCCACTGTCAGCAGGCGAGAATGTGAAAACATCCTTATATTGTAGAACTCTGCACATACATCAGTTAGATGTTTGAGCTTCACTGTGCAGAATGATGTATGCAATCTATATTTAAGTGGAGGTGGGCTTTAATGA